TTCACACACAGACCCACTTAACATATTGCAAGTTCTGCTTTGTCTTGGGATGTCCTGCAGAGACCGAGGGCTCGACATCCTGAGATGACCACTTGGCCAGTTTAACATACAAATTAACATCACACATACACACAGACCCCCGGTGTAGATCACATTCCAGCAGGGAGGTGTGATCAGACATCCACACTGGTTTAATAGCTATGGAATAACTGTACTTGATTGGCCGGCAAACTCACCTGACTTAAACCCCATTGAAAATCTATGGGGTATTGTCAAGAGGAAGATGAGGGAACACAGACCTCGAAATGCAGACAAGCTGAAGGCCAATATCAAAGCAACTTGGGCTACCATAACACCTCAACTGTGTCAAAGGCTGATCGCCTCCATGCCACGCCGCCTTGATGCAGGAATTAATGCAAAAGGAGGCCCAACAAAGTACTGAGGACATAATACAGTACATTAACACACTTTTCAGAAGGCCAACATGTGTTTAAGATCCTTTTTTTATTGGTCACATGAAATATTCTAATTTTGTGAAATACTGGATTTGGGTTTTTTTTGTCTTTAATCCATAATCATCAAAATTGAAACAAATAAAGGCTTGAAATATTTCACTTTGTGTGTAGTGAACTAATATAACATACAAGTTTCACTTTTTGAAACAAATTATTGAAATAAATGGACTTTCCCTCGATATTCTAATTTTTTGGCACATACCTGTAGCTGTAACTCACTATTAGTGCTGATTGTTTGGATGAAAAGAAACCCTCTGGTGATTCTCTGCCCATAGTATTGGGAAAATGAACTGGTGCATTAGTGACCCAGAGATTTGTAGAGTGCAGCACTTTGTCTTTCTCATTTCTCTCCTCAGTCCTCATCTCGTACTCCCACACCTATAACCCGGCTCTGAAGAGGTCTCCACTGTCTATTGTCACTGCCCTTGTGGACCGGATTGGTGAGTCTCATATTTAGTGCACGATCTGCACCTTGTTGGTTTGGCTCTCACACCTCAAACACCTGTCTTCATCCCTGTGTTTGCGTTCAGACATGAGGCAGCACATCATCTATCCTGACTGTGACATCAAGTTCACTGGTCATGTGACATGGGTGGGAAAGACCTCTATTGAAGCCAAGATGCACATGTCACAGGTAGACACACACACCTGTTCACTTACACCCCAACAATATACACTCAGTGGGCAGTTTATTAGATACACCTAGCTAAAGCTAATGCCGTCTACTACAGTACATCCTGCGGCAGCACCTCTCTGAAAGAGTCTGAACACACTGAACATTATCAGCTTCATGAAGGAAGATTTATCACAGAACCGTTGGACTGACTCAGTTTTAGCTGACTGTGCCCAATAAACTGCCAGCTGAGTGTATATGTTATGCATCGACTGCGTTTTAAGTCGCGTTCTGCTGCACAAGAAGTGACAAAAAGTAGCTGCCTGTAGAAACCCAAGTTTAACCAAAATAGTGGTGACAAACTGTCTCAGTTTGAATGACCGATGATTGTTTATTATTGTAGTAAAGAAACTCTAGACAGGAATAAGAGATCAGCTCTTGCATGTCTTTCTAAAATGAAATGCTCACTAGCTTTGTTTTGTAAAGTGAGTCTGTGTCATCCTCCAGTACCAGGATGGAGCTTATACCCCAATTCTGGATGCTACATTTGTCATGGTGGCCCGGGACCCAGAGAACAAGAGGTAGGACACTCGTTACAGCCCCAGGATGAAACTAATGTTTGGAGCATCCATAATCCTCATTGGCAGAGAATAAATAAAGAATGGGATCAGGCAGTGCTGTGTATCAGCACTTAGAGAGTCTCAGTGTCTCTGCTGCAGTGAGACCCTGAGCTTAAGCCTTCATTAGAGGGAAATAAGCAAAGTGGGAGGAAACATCAGTTCCTCTGTGACTGACACAGTAATGTGTCAGTCACAGAGGAATATACAGGAATATACAGAATATTAACAGGGGAAGTCCTGATCAGGTCTTGGTCCCGATCCAGGTCCTTTAATCAAGTGCAATAATAGGCTAATTTTACCTAAATTGTACCCTCCAAAGTTTTCTGCTTCAGTGGTGCACACACGCATACGGTCATGTCTTACCATACAATACCATAAAGTCTGCAATTTGTCTTGTGACACAAGGCGGCTCCAGTGCAATACCAAAGAATCTCAGGTGTCCTACTATAGCTGTGAGGACACTGAGGTGATGCATTCCCTAACCTTAACCTTGGTTTAGAGATGGAGCAGAGGAGCTCGTCAAAGCTTTCAGCAGCTTTAAAATATCTCTGGATCAACCCCCATACTGAATCTACAGGGGGCTAAAACAGTGAAAAAGAAACAATCACTGGCAATGAGTTTCAGTTTCAGTGTGCTGAGTCCACAGCATCTCTCGTGCTGACTTCATCCTGTGCTGCTGTTTGCTCCTCCCTCTTTGCTCCAGGGCAGCGTTTGTAAATCCACTGAAGCCAGACGGAGTGGAGGAAGAGAATCTCTTCCAGGAAGGAGAAGGTATGAGGTCATGGCGTAACCTTTAAGATAAGCTAAAAATGAGCCTTTTACAGCAACATTTTTCTCCCTCTTTCCTGCTGTGTTGTGTGTTTCTAGCTAACAAATCCCGCCGTGTGGAGCTGAGCACCGTGTCACTGCTGAAGGTTGCTCCGACAGATGAAGAGAGGAAGATTGTGCACAGTCTGTTCCTCAACACCCTGGACACAAAGTATGACTGAGATGATAAACTTTAACCTGCTTTAGACAAGAGGCAACAACAACTGGGTCTACAGTGATGCTTGTTCATCTTAAAAAGGTCTAAGTAAAAGGTGCAACTAGAAAACATTTACAAACCTCAGTCCACTGACCTCACTCTGGTGGATATGTGTTGCTCTCTCGCAGTGCAGCAGGCTGAGATGAACGTCATATGCATGTAACAGGAGACCTGTTTTTATGTTGCCCCTCTCACACAAGATAAAATGCTTCTTATTGCACACAATCTGCGTGAAAGACTTTTTATTTTGTATCATATGTGTAGCTGCAAGTTCCACAAGCACGTTCAGCATGTTCAGCTTGTTTTTTTACTCACTGCAGCAGCGGCTCAATGATTATGAATTAGACTGTAAGCTATATAAAGTTCAGCTCAGACTGAAAAGACCTGAAGTGTTTCACGGTAACAAAGCAAATCACTTACAGCTGATCTTCATGTCGTGGTTTCTACACTCCACTCAGCAGAGAACTATGACACTCAGCACCTTCACCTTGTTCAGTTACTAGTTCCACCTGTGTCGCCGCCTCCTTTCTTCTTAGGTTTTTCTAATAAAGACTGTGTGTTGATGTACATCAGCAAGGAGTTGTTCTAAAAATCTGGCTCTAAAAATGACTAACAATATGTATTAAAGCCAATTTCCAGTGTGTTATTTCCAGATGTATACTGCTTCATATTTCACCATTAGTTTCTGTCTTTCGCTCCAGGACAGTCAGTTTCCGCAGCAGAGTTTTGCCTTCAAGCTCAGTGTGGATGGAAGATGCCAAACTGAAAGGACTGGAGATCTGCCACCCACAGGTGAGAGGGAAGAACAGCTACGAACACAAAATTCAGTTCAGTTCAGTTTTATCTGTATAGCTCCAGTTTGTCCCAACCAGGCATCCTTAGTTTGCGTCATCACTGGGAAACAGGACATGATGGGAGAGGCAGAGAGTGATTAGGAGCAGTTTATGTTGTCACTTTCCTTGGGGTCTCACTGGAGTCTCTAGGTTCAAAAGACATTAGAGATATAAGAGTGATCATTTAGTACATGCACTTCATTTTTAACTAGGTTGGGAAGATTCAATAGAGAAACCTCTTGTTTCTGTGTGTTCACCAGGAGAGGAACATCTTCAACAGGATATTCGGTGGTTTTCTGATGAGGAAAGCCTATGAGCTGGGCTGGGCCAATGCCTGCTCCTATGGGTGAGAGATCATGTTCGCAGGAGAAAGAATGTGTTCAAGCATGAAAGGAGAGTATTTGTGCGCTACAACATTTTAAGCAAAGTGTCGTCTTTCCTCTGATGTGTTGCAGAGGATGCCGACCGAACCTGGTGGCTGTCGATGATATCCTCTTCCAGAAACCCGTGGAAATCGGCTCTTTGCTGCTGCTCTCATCTCAGGTCAGAGGCGGGTTGCGTGTGGAGGGACCAAACCTGTTTATCTTGTTAAAGTCAAACCCACAGCCTTTATAGTTGGCTACACCCCTGCAGTCGACCTGTGTGTGAGATGGATCTTCTGGCTGACTTTTTTGTGTGTTCCACTAGCAGCTTGTGTCTGTGTGTATTTCAGGTGTGTTACACAACGGGGAAGCACATCCAGGTGAGAGTTCACAGCGAGGTGTTCGACCCACTGACCCAGCAGCACAACACCACCAACATCTTCCACTACACCTTTGTTTCCGACCGCGATGTACCGAACATCATCCCAAAGACATACGGAGGTGAGCCAGCGTGCACACACAAAGCACTCAGCTGATCCTGGGATTGCTCACACAGTCTCTGTTACTGACTGATTTACTAGTATTGTGGTTGCTGACTCGTCGCTCTCTGCTCAGCTGTGTGTGAGCAGTGCAGCCCCACTCTTATGTAAACAGCGACCAACACAGTGGGAAAGCAAAGCAGAACAGACCTCAGACCTACAGTGGATACTGTATTTTTGTGTTGCCTGTGTTTTCAGCCATTTTGGGAGAAAATGGGTCATCTAAGGCCTAGCATCCTGGGTTTTAGTACTGATTTGTAGTTCTGCACTTTGGAAGCATGCCTAAAGGTTTGTATAAAACCTGTCTTTTTATGCTTGTTTTTAAAGCACCTTGTGGTTTTGTACCAGATTCACTGTCTGAGATTCTTCCAGTATATAAACTGGGACAGCCTCTCAGTTTTTATGCTCTGACCCTGAGGGTCTGAGAGCAGCTGAAAGGGCTGATATCTTCAAACATAAACACTGATGGATAAAAATTGGATAGATAATTCTTCTGGATTTGCATGGGAGGTGAGGCAAACAAAAGTCTGGGGAGTGAGTGAGGACATCTTGCTCACTTGTACTCACTCATACTGTATACATGATATTTTTTAATAAAGCAGCAGCTACATTTCCTTGTAATAAACTCTACTTGTGTATTTGTGTTTTTCTGCTTTTGTTCTGCATCCCAGGTTCCCTGTTAAACAGTGTTATAAACATAAAAAAATCTGCTGCTACCATCTGACATACTGTTGTGTTGTGTGTTTAACAGAATCGATGTTGTACCTGGACGGAAAGAGACACTTTGACCAAATGGTGGAACACTGAAAGATCAAATCTACTGTGCAGCCTGCAAAGTCTTTCAGCATCGAACCAACAAGGTCTGAGTGTGTGTGTGTATGTATGTGTGTGTGTGTCTGTGTACTTGTATGGCTATACAATATGAGGAGTTTGAGTTTTACCATGAGAGTGAGGACATTTTAGCTGTTTCTCACTGTCTTGGTTTTAGGGTTAGGGTTAGAGGTAGATCAGGGTTGGGGTTAGGTATTGTTAGCACACTGCTACATACAGTGGGGCTACCAGTCACAACAGTCTAGGTGTCTCTCATGCATCTTTGTGAGCTTTGTGTGCTCAGCTCACTAACAATCTGATCCCCAGGATCAGCGCTGGGCTGTGAAGCTAATTTGATGTAGCTGCCAAACAGCATCATTCTGTGTTCATCAACTGGCTTCACACCAGCATTTTTCCCATAGAGAATCACTGAAAAAGGAGCAGGTGTAAAACAGTGGATATGTTTTTCCAAGCATCACAAACCTGTGAAATGACTTATTACAGAATTTGATCAATATTATTTGGAAAGTCTAGCAGAGTCATAGGATACGTTTATTTTATCCCATTCATATGTGCATAGAGCTGATTGGAAATCAGCTGGCCCCGGGACTCTTGACTCAGCACAGGGCCCAAAGCATGGACGCATGTGGAGCATTGGGTAAATTTTTATGGCTGGAATCTGGAAGCGTGAAGAATTAAAGAGGCACAGCCCAGTAGTTTGCTCTCCAGTTCGTTTTAACCCATCCATATAACAAATATTGTTTTGGAGAATGCCCTAAACAACAATAACACACTGGAACACACTTGCGTTCATCCACGATGTTGAGAAAACTCCGCCTCATGTCACTGCTGTACTTCCCAATCTCATGTGTACTGTCTTTCTTTCTGTTGAGGTTGGGGGTGTGTCTGAATGAAGCCTTGAGGATCAGTGTAAAAGTTTAACAGACTGATGAAGCAGCAGTGTTGCGTCTTCCATGTCTGACATTAGTTGTGATGGCTGAGGTTAGTGCAAGGGGCCAGGGAATGCATGGTCAGTGAGTGTCCTCACATAAATAGCTGTGCAAACTTGTGTGTGTCAGAGGTCTGTTGAGATGTACATCCTTTCATATCACGCCATGCTAATTTTTTACACCACACCTGCTGATGTACTTTTATATGCTGTGGTCATTTACTATTATTTATTTTATTTGCTCATTGTTTCACAGTTGTTTCCAGAAATACTATTGGTTTGTCCTACAAGCCAGTAAGTGTTTACAGCAGCTCTACAGTCATATTTGACTGGAGAAAATGAAGCAAAGTTTTCCTGCTCTTGTTGTAACCTCCAGTATTGCTTGTTCATTGTATGCATGGGTTTATTCTGCCTGTTACATTTTTATATTCTACCGTTGCTTGCATTTACATTTTTTAAAATTGTGAATAGGAAAATTTATCCTGAGTGTCTTAGGCTGCTGCAGGAGGGAGGACATGGTCTGTTCTGGCCTGAAGATGTGTATTCACTCAAATGCAATAAATTCTTATTTAGCTTGACTTAACATTCCTGTTTGTGTATTTGCTTTCATTATGAATTAATACAGTTTATTTTTGGTGGTTGAAGACTTTAAAGATATAAAGACTACCATTATTATTTATCACTGCAGGCAATCCAGACTGATGTAGTTGTGTACCCCCTTATCATAAAGATGTGGAAGTAAATAAGTAGTTTGTATAAATTACATATAGAAATACACAAATGTAGAAATTAATACATATATTTCCAAAACAAGTATAGATTTAATTCAAGTATGTTTCAAGCTAATATGTTTGTACATTTAAGTAACATTTGGGATGCTTTTGCCTATAACAGAATACTTTCACACTGTAGCATTACTACGTTTAATTAAGTACAGGATCTGAGTTTTTTTTCTTCTTCAACACCGCGTTGTTATATGAAATAAGATTTAACTTTTGGCGGTGGGATATGTGGGGCAGCCGTGTCCATTTTGAAGAACGAATATTTGGCGCCTCTTGTTTTCACCGTGCACATTTATCGGACGGACGCAAACAAGGAATTGCTCAGTATTAGTAGCCCACTTATTTTAATAACCGCCTAATTTAACGATCATCTGTAACGCACTTTGTAGGATCACCGGCAGGAATGTGGTGAGTGGTTTGGGTTTCTGTCGAGCTGGGGGCCGTTTCTGAGCTGAACTGGTTCATACTAATTGTTAGCTAGCCTGGAGATGTTTGGCACGAACATCTCCAGGCTAGCTAACAATGAGCGCCTAGCATTAGCAAAGATGGCTAGCTCGACTCCTGCTTTGTAGCTTGCATGCTGGGGTCAGAGATGTAGTGTTCCTGCTCGTATGTTATTGACTTACTAAATGCTGACTTCTTATGCACGGATGAATACTAACGAAAACTAGCGGTGGGGTTGCGATCTTGTCAGATTATTTCTGTGGTGTTGTGATCGTCGCTGTGTCTTGTCAGTGGCTCTCGTTGTGGTGTTTGCCTTCCTCTAGTAGAACAACACACTCTTAAGGCCTTTTCACACCGGACGCGACGCGAATAAGCGATATTTTCTTAAAACGTCGCCCTACATAGATGGACTCCACAACAAGCGACGACGATGTACTGCTTGTCCTGCTACATAAAAAAGAAAACAAAGAAGGTTTTGGGTCCATCCTATATTGAAAAGAAGGAGAGAACATGGCGAGTTTCATCGGTTGGTACAGGAACTGAAGTTGTATCAT